TTTTTTCCACAGAGGGAAGTGAGACTGAGAGCACTGTGGATTCAGACTTTGGACGTGGGGATCTACTGGCCACAACCTCTTCAGATCCCTTCTTCACATATAAACCAAGGTACTTATCAGATAGACTGTAAGATTTGACCTGAAACACCTTCCAGTGGCTCATCACCATTTTTTTTTGGCAAAGTCACCCCTCCACATTTGAAACTCTTTGTAATGACTTTCCCAGCTCAGTCATTAAGCTTAACCTAAGAAACTGCTTTGGCACAACTTCCTGCTTCCACCTGACAGTTTGTTTGCTGTTTCGTTGCCAGTTCTCCCAGTAGTGTTGCTTTGTTTCATACAGATGTGTCTGTCAGATAATTTATACATCAGATCATCTTGTACATTAGTGATATCCGTAACTGACATATTTTATTTAAAGCATAACAACAACAACAACCCAAACAGTGAACGCAACAGCAGTAACTGTGGGAAGTTTGAGTAAAACATGAAATTTGGGCCTGTTAAAGTTGCATCAGAGATGACTTTTCCTGATATTTTAGGACCTTTTACACGATTCATTGTTTGTATTGTGTAATTTTTGACAAATTCAGTGTTTCATTCTCATTGCTCTACGAGCTCTTTTCTAATGCAAAAGACTGTACTTCATTAAATTAATTTTAATCTTAAATAATAATCTGAACTTTAAAAATAGCAATTTCATTTATTTTTCTTCACAGAAATGAATGAAATGGTGAGATATAGGCCTACTGTATATTTTTAAAGTTGTGATGCGAACCCTAGTTGGGTCAGGATCCCCAGGTTGGAAACCAGTGTCCTACATCTGTATAAACCACTGATTTGAATCGAATGAATGAAATATTACAAGTTGGTGGGACTTAAACTCTGACCATTGTTTTCAGTTTACAGGCACACCTCAAATCTTGTTTTAAATTGCCTGTTACCTGTCACAGGAGTGCCAGCGCTGCAGAGGAGAGCTTTGAAAACGATCTGGAGCAGCAGCTGGAGGATGAGCTCAAGTTGGAGGAGCTAATGAAGCACAGGCAGAAACCAGACAAAACCTGCATGGTGAGACTGTGATGGAAAGGTGATGGTGGCTCCTTGTCAATACTTATTCTGACCTGCTGTGTGTGTGTTTTGGTGGTGTTCAGGTGACGCTGCAACAGTGACCATCTTAGTTCTGGTGACTGGTAAGTGTCTTTTTCATCCACACATCCACATCATATAACATGAAAGCTTACAAATGTAAACACTCACCAAAATGTTTAGAATTAGAAAATAATTTGTAGGATTGTTGAGCGCTGAACCTAGTTTCAAACTGTAACAATGCATTGATTAGCACACGCAGTCTCTAACAGTGAATAATAAGGTTTTAATTTACAAGCTTTTGGGTTTTTGCCTTTTGCTTGTCTCTTGGTAAGTTTACGTGCATATCCTGGTTTTGAGTCTTAGTTCAGATCATATTTGGGATTTGACATTTACGCAGGATATGATTGTAACAGTATTCAGGTTTCTGATTAGTCTTTTAGTGGTGCATGTTTCCACTGTGTTTAGCTTTTGGCATGGCTCTAGGGACGACACTGTCAGTCTGTCGTTTAGTCTGTCCGCCACTTTGGTCCAGACTGAAATAGCTCAACAAGTACTGGATGGATTGCCATGAAATATATTCATATTCCCCAGAGGATGAAGCCTACTAAATTGGGTAATCCCCTGACTGTTTTCCTCCAGTGCATTTTTGGGGCTTTATTGGATAGGACAGCTCAAGATAGTCAGGAAAGAGGGAGACAGAGAGGAGATGACACGCAGCAAAGGGCCACAGGTCAGACTTGAACCCAGCAAGGACTGAGCTGAGCTACCAGGGCAAACTCAGGTTTCTATCTGAGTACTACAGGTAGCATATTTGGGTTTCTCAAAACCAGAATAAAGGCTGAGACACAGATATGATGTTTACATGTTCAAACACATAACTGAGATACTTCAAAAACACAATAAGAGCTGGAATATGTCTATGTAAACACACTTATCTTGCCTGTCTTTGCTTTGCAGTATATGTTGAGCACTCACATCGAGCTGTGAGTAACATGATCTGTACTCTCAACAGGTGAGCGGTATGAAAAGCAACAATAGTAGAAGACACTGGACGAGAAAACACTGGGCCGACGGTACAGAGCACTGAAGATATGAAGAATTTAAGTTGAATAAATGGCTGAATCCAACCATAGAAAACATTTATGTAAAGATATATTTTTTAACCAACCACATATTTAAGGTAATACTGTGAGCTGATGTAAAGAGATTAATTAGTGAGCTGTCTATTACACCACAGGTGCCATAAAAACCACATGACTTGGGGAATTATTTCTTAATTTTTAGCCTTTTTATATGAGTTGTCAAGCAAATGTACAACTACACTGTTAGTACAGGGTGGCAAACCCGATTCTTTCCAATGCTCATATTTCTGAAAACAGTGAACCAGGTTTAAGTGTTTGTTTGTCGTCTGATTTTAAATATAAACCTGAGATTACATTGGAGCTGATAGATGATAAAAATTGCAATATTTTGTAAATGTATAACTCAGACTTTTACCACTATTCCATAGATTTCTTACTGTTAATGTTGAGTGGCTTTTGTATTGTTTTTTGACTTGTTTTTGGAGCAGGCCGGTCAGATACGTTTGTTTTATTTGATACATTAGTAATAATAATAATGCACACTGCCTTAGCTGATTGGATGGCCTCTCAAAGGAGCTCATTCAAACTGTCAATGCAGCATGTAGCTAACAACAAAACACACCTGTTTAGCAGCAATGCTAGGTGAATTCACTGGACATATGAGGCTACACTCATTTAATGTGTTGCCGGGAAGTGATTTTGTCTGCAGTGGGATTTGTTCTGCAAATATGTACACTGTCTACATATAAATTGTCAATTAAGTATAAGATGTAGATGGGTTGGTTCTAGTATCTGGGACTGTTTTAAGATATAGTGAAAAAGATGTAACATAGGGACTTCCAAAATGATCAAATTCAAAGGTTTACACTGGTAAGGGCATTGAACAAATTGTGTTTACTATCAATGGTTTATGAATTAAGGTTCAACCATAGATCATTTGCCGTTGTTTCATTTGTCAGCGTCAATGCTCTCACACACAAATCTCTGTGTGACTTGCACACCAACATACACACTCTTGATGTATTTTCGGAGAGTGCGTGAAACTTTACTTAGTCACTTTGGGAAAAGTGGCAAGCCAATCTAAAATCATAAATGTGTGAAATATATCTAGTTTGATTTTTGAGCAAGTTCATAGCAGTGATTTTGCATGGTGGTGATGCATAATAAAGTGTTGACACAATATCACAATTTTTGCCTATGAACTCCTTTTTCTCTTTCTTTTTCCATTCCAGAACAGCACACTTCAATTGGTTTGGTTTGGCAGTGCACATTTATTATCTGTCATAAATGCACTGTTGGCTGCCCTCAACCTATTGTCTATAATTCATCACATAGACTCACCATCTGAGGTAACATAAAAGCAGCCATCCGGCACTGAATCTCATAGTCATGCGAATATTAGGAGGGAGAAATTTTGCTCGCAGGCTCAGGCAATATTATCAGCATATGAATTAACTGATATTAGTCTTTTTTATTAATATTATCAGTACTTTTTAACACAAGCCTGTACATTCAACATTTAAAGACAGTATTTATAAGATAGATGTACAACATCCATGCACCAGTTCTTCGCCTAATTACCACAATCTAAATTAAGTCTTCCCACCATATGTCCTTTTCTTGTCCGGTCTAAGTTGTGTGTACTCTATCAGCATTGTTATAAAAGCAGCTATAATAGTGATGAATTTCATACCAAGCCTCTTCCAGATGTCTTTTGTCTTGTATTAAGTGCATGACTGCACCCTGGTGTTAAAACATGAGGAATGCAGTTGTGTCTGTGGCTGAACATCAGGTTTATTTGACCAAAGATGAAAACTTTGTGCCCTATATTTTACTTCTGTGAAAACAGTGATGCTCTTTGTATATTTTGGTGATCAAAAAAACAAAAGAAAACAGTTCTTCCACAATAAATCTTAAAGTTGCTGGCTCAGCAAGGCTCTTTATAATCATACAGATAATTTTGGCCACAGGAATTTAAGAATGTATAGTTTATTTGTAGTGTACACATAAAATAACATTTATTATCAAATAATGCTTTTTGTCAGTTTTTGATTTTGTCAATTAAATGTACATAAATAAATGACAAAATAATAGTGACAAATTCACAAGAACCCAAGGTGACCTAATTTTTGTCCAATAAACAGTTAAGTTATCCTCAGATATTTAATTTAAAATTATATAAAACACAGACAAGCAGCAAATCTCCATCTTCTTTTTGATGTTGCAATTTTTGCTTGATTAAAATACTGCAACAACGAAGGGAATATCAAAATTGTTACCAATTGGTGTCTGTAGTCAACATTTTTTTAGCACTGCAACATTGTAACTCACAACAACACAATATATTGTACTCAAAGCAGGTTTTCAGAATATGTATCATTATTTTTTACACTTGTCTACGTTTTCCTTTTGAAAAATGTTGTTATACATAGTAATATTTTACTATTTCACCTGAAAAAAAATAAATTTAGATGATGGTGGATCTCGGCAGTTTTACATGTAATAAATATGTGTTAATTCAGGATCAGATTTTACGTTTCTCTATAGGAAAAGTGATGTGACACAGAGCGACAAGACGGAAAGCTGTCTGCTGTTCGCCATGATCAACGCATAAAGAGGTGATTGGTCAGAATCACGACAGATGTCATCAGCGGACCAATCAGCTGCGCCACCGATGACGCGTCGACCAATCAGCAGCCCGCTCGTAGCTCACCGTCAACTGAGAATGGGCGTTTGAGGGTGGGGTGACTCAGCCGGAAAACAGCAAATTTTAACACCTTGTAACCTGCGGATCGGAGTTCACTGGTGAGTCCCATTTTGCTTGCTGAACGATTTCCGTCCGTCATTAGATTTGAATCGTAAAACATGGCGTGTAAGTGTAAGAAGAAAAAAAAAAAAAAAAAAGACAACAAACCCAGAGCGTATTGACGTGTGTCGCTGGTTCGTACGGTGATGTTACCCGGGGTCAGGGCATATGTCTGCTGTCACTACTCCGACAAAGTGTTGGCAGGAACAAAAATGAGCTTAGTGTTATAAACTTGGCGGTTATCTGAACAGGATGTGCTCTGCTCACTGTAAGTAACGCCTGGCTCGGTTCAAACTCTTTCTCCTTATTTTGCTCTGGCATTGTTTGTGTGATAGCTTGCTTACCAATCATTGTTTTCTCGTGTCACTGTCATTTCTAACGCGAAGCATTGAGTTAGCTTCATTAACGAGATTACTGCGGCTAGCTGCTTCGTTCCGGAGTCGCTTTAAAACATTTATCTCAGAAAATTAGCAAGACCTACCCCCCCCACAGTTAAAGCTATTTCTGAGCAGTGGCGTGCACCGGGAACAGAGAGGGAGAGAGAGAGAGAGAGAGAGAAGGAGAAAGAAAAAGAGCGGCTGACCATGGTCCTCCTTGGTCTTTTGTCTTGGGTGCAAAATGTCCCTCTTTTTTTTCTCCCTCAAATGGCAAAAACTTTTCTTTCCACACGTGTATCTAAAGGCGTGATTTGAAAGATGACCCATGTAAGATGTGAGACACCAGCGCTCCCTCCTCTCTGGTCCTGGTCCTCCCTTCACCCCGGATTGTGGTTTGGTTTGAGGTTCCCCCTTTAAAGTGTTTGTGCACACCACTGAATCTGCAAAAAAAAAAAGTATATTTTGCACCCTAATTAGTAACCTTAAATATCACTTTTCATCTATCCAACATACAATCCAGGGTAGCAGTGACCTCCTTGCTATTTTTTAAATGTTGAGGGCTGGGTCTGTTGGGTGGAGCTGCCACCCCTCACCCACCCACTTTATTACCCAGTGCAAGAGAGAAAAAGCTCTGTGAGATATGAATGGAGACAGCAAGCACACGCCTTTTCCTGTAGTGGAATGAGCTTATGCACAACGGCCCAGTGATTCATTGTGGCCTAACATACAGCATTAACAGGCTGTATACAGCATCATCCTCGAGCTGTGCATTGCCAACATGTTACCCCACCCTCGCAAAATTGAAGGCAAGCACCGTGAACAGAAAAGCTAAACAAAACAGCTGTTATAGCCAGATTATCTTGCTTGCATGCTGTGTTTCTGGTGGTTGCCCACCTGATTCTACTTAAACTCACTTACCCCACTCAATTTCAACAACTACATCACACTAAAATACGAAACATAACAATTGTAGAGTGTATATGCATTGAGGTCACTGTTTCCCAGAATTAAAGCTCTGGACCTGACACATTATTTAGCTGACATTTGATTTTTTTCCTATTCTTTACTCCTGCAAGTAGGCCTGATGCATGTTTTCTATAGCTCCCCAGTCTTGGCCTCTTTGAGTCCATACAGACAGTATCACGGCGTAAAAAAACCATAGCACCCTCATTCATTTGTGACACAGGATTATCTGGCAAAGCAAGTTGAACCTGACTCAACTTTTGCTGCAACACAGTGGAGCATTATCTGGCAATGTACTGCATTGGCCAATGAAATATGTTTAAAATGTATCTCACTGGTACCTGAACTACAGCGCTGTGCTGTTTTCACTCTGAAAGTCTGATAATGGTAGACACACAGCATCAGATCTCTCATTCCTTTCCAAATGTTGTTGAGGATATGTTGCCTTGTTGCGATATAACTGCACACATGTCTTTGATTTTTCATTTTTTGCACATAAATGCTAGCTGTTTGTTAAGAGCACCAAGGAGGACCACGCCTCTGCAAGGTGAAGGCGTAAGCAGAGACATGCCCGAAAGGACACGTCTGTCTTGTCATGGCCTAAAATTTACATATTTAATTCTTAGGCTTCACAGTCTGGTCATTAATTTTAGATAGGACGTGCATGCTTCACCTCTGCAGTGACAGTGTAAGGCCCCGCAAGACTGGGAAGTGGGAAGTGGCAGGTTCATCTCAATGACAGCCTGTTGATAGCAAAGCCAGTTGCTGCTCATGAGAACAAGCCCAGTTTGACTATGTCATTCTAGATACAAAGCAAACCTCTGTGTGTTATAGTGATGAGACCAATATGCTGCAGTTGTCACTTTCCAGTCTGAAAGGGCCTTCAGCATTAGTGTTGTAGAAATGTAGCGCTGCATGCTTTTTGTCCTCAGACATTTCTAGTGTCACAGTTTGGTCCTTAAATGAAATTAGAGCTTGGTTATTCCTTGTGCTTGGCTCTGCAGGAATTTGTGTGAAGAGAGTACTTTTGACCTAGTAGAGGCAGGGGATCCTGATTGTGTGTCTTTTCAGAATAACCATACAAGATAGATATTCTGCATTTATGTCACTGCCTTGATTTATTTCTAATATTTTCTAAAAACTTAACACGGAGAGTAGCTTTAATGCACATTCAGAGATCCCTGAACAACCTGGAAATCGATTAAAATGACCAAATATCCTGGAAATAATATATGTTGTCCTGGAAATTCTTTATTGTATTTCAGTCTCTCACTCAGATCACCTATGTGAACCTAGATGCAAATTTTGTTTGCAACTTGACTAAACTGTATGACACTTCAGAGGGTTTACCAGATGCAAAGTGGAACTGACTTGCAGTGATCTTTTCAGGATCGAGTCTATTTTTTCCAAAGCTGTGAGCAAAATTCTCTTACCTACATGCATACGCCATTTTAATGATCAAATTTCGTGTTGCTGTTGTTGATAAATACATTGCACACTGATGTGAATTGTACGTGAACATTGAATCATTTAATTTGTGGCCAAATAAATGTAGTCAGCTTGCCTAAAAAGAATGGGAACCTTGACATTTCAGTACAAGGGTGTATTATTGCAGTCAAATGTGGAATCCGTGGCACATACAGCCGCTTTGCTGACATGTGACTTTTAAAAGCTGACGAGAGTGATGATGTAAATTATAATAATTTAACAATGAAACACGGTTGGAATTTGGAATATGTGTTGTAACATCTTCAAAACAAAGCTTTACTAGAAATCCTGTATCATTTAGCAGAAGGCGACCTCATCTATCTGTGGCTATACGGAGAATGAAAATCCTGTTGAATAACCATAAAAAGCTGAGTGTAGGGAAATTGGATTAACTGGCAGAACAAGACAAAAGTCAAGCTGGAGATTATTGGGTACAATTTATTAGAATTTTTCTGGACATTTATCTTATATATTTATCAGAGATCAGTTTAAGAGTCTTTCCATAGGCTCTGTGTAAAAGTTGTTGGCACAATGTGGCCTCAACGTTGGCCTAATGGTGGCACTAGAGGAGTTATTTTAACTGAGCACACAGATGTTGACCAAACATTGTGTGAGTATTTGATATCCTTTACCCAATTTTAACAGCATTATTAGACAGTTTGAAATTTTGACAGAAAAGGTAACCTGCTAAATGCTCCTAAAAGATGCAACTGTGGTAGGGCTTTGATGAGCATATACCAGAAAAAGCTGTGTCTAACAAAATATTTTGTCTAGTGACCTTGGCTGACGTTAACAAGACTACCTGACCGGCTTAATTTTGACCCAAAAACAGGACAAACTCTTAACACACATAACATTTAAAGCATTACTGGCCAATTTACGTTTGATACAATACATTCCCTTTGGGCTGATGGTGGTGCTAGATGGATTGTTGTTATTGATCTCAAAATCTGTGACTGTGTAACATATCCATAAAAAACATAATGGACTTGCATAAGAGAGAAGGTGGCCTTTTAAATAAAGCATTTTTGGAGGAGAAAAAAATCAAGGCAGGAAAACAACTTTACAGAATCATAGAAACTCTGTACCTGTGAGTTGCAAAGCTCTTAGTAGAGGTAGATGCCTTATTAATGGCTGGGCTCACTTCTTGCATAAAATTCCTGCATAAAACATCATAGCTGTGTTGTATTAGCTCGATGTGGAGTCCAGTGCTGTGTCAGTTTTCCATCATGCCTGTTAAATACTGTGATCTGCTGCTCCACATACAGTAGCTCCTTATCATTGATTACTAACCATGTTCATATAAGGTTGAACTGAGTGGGCATCATATTTGTATATATGTATATATATATATTGATATTAGGGGTGTAATGATTCATGGGACATATTATCAGTCTCACAATTTTCATTTTAACACAGAAAAAATTATTTGTAGTTGAAAATTTTTTTCTGATGCACTCAGTGGTTGCTCAGCAGAATATACAACACAAAATAAAAGCAGTGGTTTACAATATAAAAACAACAGATGAGGCAACACAAACAGACGATAGCTTAGCAACCACAGGACTGCATTGTTCAGATTTTAAACATAACATGTGTACTGAATTGAGATCCTTTTATGAACCGATAAAGCATATTGTTACACCCCTACTGGACATTTATAAATTCAGACACATTTTAGAGCAAACTGATTAGTTGATTAATCGAATTGTTGGTCTAATTTTGATAATAGATTAATTATTTTTGTCATTTATCAAGCAAAAACTTACTGGTTTCAGCTTCTGAAATATATTTAGCCGGTTTTCTTAGTCTTCATTTATAGTAAATTGAATATATTTGTGTTTTTGACATCTGAAGGCGTCGCCTTGGGCTTTCGGAAATGGTGGTGGACATTTTCTAATAAAAAGCAGAGCCCGACCTATATATCGGTCGCCTGATATTGGCCTCTACTCAGAGATATTGGTATTGTAATGGTGTATGTTTCCTGACATTTACCAATATGTTTTTTACGTTATATAATGCAGAAGAAATGCTTCTGTTAATATACTGGTGAAACTGCAAAGTTTATCCAGCAGAGTGTGCAATGATTTACAATACTGTGGCAAGCAGCACAGCGTAAGAGAGAAGAAGCAGCTCTCAATAGTGAGAATTGGTTCACCATGTATATGTTCAGTTATTTAAAATTAAGAAAGCAGCCTTTTGAGTACCCTTGCAGAGTCATATTGGGGCACAATCCACATAGAAAAGGTATATTTTCCTTCCAGCTCAAAAGCTATATCTTTCTATAGCTATATAGGTAATCTGGGATTTTTTTTTCCCATCTAAAATTGATATCTGTATCTGTCTCAAGATTCCCATATCAGTTGGGCTCTAATAAAAAATAAATTGATAAATTAATTGAAAATTAAAATAAGGATTATCTGCAGATTAAATTCTTGATTAATTAATTAATTAATTAATTAATGGTTTGGTCTATAGACTGTCAGCAAATAGTGAAAAATGCCCATCACAAGCCACCAAAGCCCAAGTTAGACCAACAGTACAAAACCCACATATATATATTATGTGTATATATATTTAAAATTTTATATATATATATATATATATATATATATTATATAGTTATCTATAGTATATAGTTATCTATTTTAGAAAAGTCAGAAAAACCCCAGAAATATTCACATTGGTACATCTTGAACCAGTGAATTTGTGCTTTAAAATTGTTGCTGATTCTGTTGATTTGACGACTCCATTAATCAACTAATCATTGTGGTCCTGAAACAATTAAATGACATTTAAGCAAATGATGTGCTTTTATGGTAATAGTTTAACTGATTGATTCATGTGGTTAGTAATCAAAACCTGTTTTACCACTTCCAACGTACCATGTGTTGTCATTATTTCCAACCCTTTTATCTATTAGGATCTGCCTGCTTTCTCCTTTGTTGCTTTTTCACCCACATCTGTTGGGTGTCGTAGTGCCAAGATCTAATAATCTAATGGCTTGAAGGTTGAAAGTGGGTGGGCTGCCATTTTCCTTTTTATAATCAAACTCATACCTTCCAGTTGATTGAGCTATTGTCTCTGAGCATTTTGATGACCGGCTTTCACAAAAGATGAAAATCTGCATCTCAAAAAAAAAAAAAAAAAAAAAGCGAGAAGCATCAATGATTGATCTGGTGAGTGATTTGTTTTTTTTTTTTTTCACACACACACATACACACACAATTAATCAATGTTATTTGGTGTACTGAAATAGCCCACCATAAGGAACAGGCAGCCAACCCCATCAGTCACGTGGTACAGGGTGCAGCAACGTCATTAGGGCAGAGATTTGTGAAGAATAAGCAGACAGAAGGGAAGAGACCCGGAGGTGCGACACTTTCTTTAAGCATTTGCATCGTTCCTGTTGTTTTTTTTTTTCCCACCCGGCCAGAGAGAGAACAGACTTATCTGTTCAACATTTTAGAGACCCAAATGCCCGGTCCCACCCAAGCCCTTTCCCCAAATGGAGAGAATAACAACGACATCGTCCCGGACAACGGATCCAACATCATTCCTTACAGGAAAAATACAGTGCGAGGAGAGCGCGCCTACAGGTAAATCAGTGCAACGTCGCATTTTAATTTGATGTAAGACAATAAATCCCTTACAAAAAAAAAAAAAAAGACACTGCTGCAGACAGAAAACCTGCATTATGGCCTGGTGCTCCTCCTCGTCGTGTGTTGGTTTTTTTGCTTTGCACCCATCCGCTATATTTTTTCTCCCCCTGTTGTCTCTCAGTCTCCTGTCATGTTAGCTGTATGTGTCCGAGACCATGGCGTAAATCGCTCTCAAGTTAGCTAACAACACCCCCCCCGGTCTTATACATATATATACAGTTATTTATATATATTTATATATCACCCACAATTTAATGCAGGCAGCATTTTAATGTTGACAAGTGTTGTGGTGCGCACATTTTGGAGGAGTGGATCGAAAAAGGTCCAGCTTGTCAAATGACAGGAATACACAAGACTACCGCCCCTGCTGCTGCCTGCTAATATATTCCCATCGTGACATGACACTTCGCAGCTACACAGCAATCCTTAATAAAAAAAAACAACATTTGTGAGTTTTAAGGGGATTTTTCTTCACGTTTTAAACACCCCTCACGACACCCTTTGCTGCACAAGTCAGATTTTTCTTTCCCTCCTCCCTCTGTGTTTGAATGGAGGCATCAGCCCAGCCCTGGTGTCGGCTGGCTATCTCTGCCCGGCTAACAAAGCATGCTAGCAGCTCATACATCCGCTTTGTTGACATGAGATCGGCTGGCCCAGTTTCCTTCCTTCCCTCCCAGAGAATCAGTCAGCCGAGCCTGTGCTCCTGCACCGCTGCGATAGCCTAACTTTACCGCTGAAGGGTTATTATTATCCCGCATAACGCCGGTGTCGGCTAGTGATGATGATGATGATGATGATTTAGCATGATTTAATAGCATATCAGTGGCTGCCATGAGCCAGTAAGAAGGGCTGTTGTTAATACAGCTGTCCTCTGTCAATGAATGAAAACTAAAATGGTTATGCTGCAGAGTTCATTTCTGCAGAAGGATTGAAGAGAGCTGCACACTTTATTAATATATACGTGTATTAGTACTACTTTTATTATATGTGCTAATACACAGACACTATAGTGTTAAAGGTCATATCAGTTACTAATTGGACTGCCTGGTTTTTTGCATTGCAGTTGAATGATGATAAATAGTTCATTTATATTGCTAATATTTGTTAAAAAATGGGTTGATATATATGTGGCTTCATATTCTTGGCCTGGCTGTTCGGGTATACCAAAGATGTAGGAAAAACTGGGAACGAGGCCGCTTTCAATGTTTCTCCCACTAACAGTTTAAAAAAAATGAAATTGTAAGCATCTACTGGTTGTGTTGTGGCCATGTGGTGTAACTGTTTAATCTGTATCTTAAGGGATCAAAGTTGCTGGATGCAGTTTTTGGCACGTAGTAATGCCTTTGGTTTATACTGTAGGACTGAATGTTCTTAGTACAAGTGGGCCAGGTTCCCCGGCGGCCCCAAAAGCTAAAATTTTGCAAGCAGGTAAAATTGCAACAGCTTTCTAATCCAACTTTACTATGGTTTTTATTTGTCATGCAGGTAAAATCAAATTAAAGCATCCCAGGCACAAATTCAAAGAGGGGCCCACAAGGGCTGCAGCAACCGAGCTTTTAATATAGTACTGATAAAAAGTTGTTACCAACACCGTAGTCTGTATATTCTGTACTCCCTAAGCAAAGGGGGATTTGTGGTCTGAAGTGCGGAGATACTTTGGCTCAGTTGGTTGTGCAAAAGATGCAGGAAACTGTTCGAATGTTCTGTTCTGTTTTAAAAGATCTATAGAGAAATCTAGCCACACAACAAATGTACTGACCCATTTTCACCATCTTGCACCAAAGGGTTAGTTGTTTAGTTTATAATTGTATCTCTTAAGTATGTTTTAACGCTACGTAGACATTTCTAGAGCTGCAACAATTGTTCGATTTGGTGATTGACAGAAAATTAATCTGAAACAATTTTTATATTCTCTTAATCATTTTTATGAATCTTTTGAAGGAAAAACGCCCAAATTCTGGTTCCAGCTTTTATTTATTTACTCTTTGAGATAATTTTGGCCACCATACAATTTTTATATTGGTCTATAAGTTCAACCATATTTTCTTTTTCTTTTACAGTTGTGTTATTACTGGAGCCTTGACTACTTTGTGTTATGGTATGACAGGGCGTGCACTGTACTCAGTGGGCACTCTCGAGTAAAGATCAGGCTCATTCATGTTCATTCACAGTGTAGAGAGTGGACACTATTACTGGGGACATGCAGTGGCGTGTGGTCGGGTGTTGTTAGTGGCCATCTTTACATTTTTGTGCTTCTTTGTGGCTCGGTCTGGCCATGTGGATAAATGCTTAAGATCATATCATGATGTAAGTCTTGGTGCAGTCTTGCTGTGGGTCTTCCAGTGAAATCTGATGTAAGATTACCGAATGTAATACAACCTTATTTGTTGGTTGTTTTGAATAAAGTCCAATCAGCTTAATCAGTAAAGTACGATTGAACTGTTCCAATTACTATTAATTGGTCTTTTGAAAGGATACAGTCTGTGTTGTATTAATGCCTTGTATTGTGGTTAATCTGCTTGGTTTAAGATACACAGCAAATGGCTGCAATGTTTGTTTACCATCTTTTTAAAATGTCAAAAACATGTAAGAAACCAGACGCATGAGGAAACTATACCTTTTTATTCTAGATGCATTACTTCTGTTTTTAAGTGTTGTTGTTTTTTTTCTGTTGCAGTTGGGGGATGGCGGTCAACGTATATTCTACCTCAATAACCCAGGAGACTATGAGCAGGCATGACATCACTGCCTGGGTTAACGATATTCTCTGCCTAAACTATACGAAAGTGGAGCAGCTTTCCTCAGGTGAGAACAGAAAGAAAGACGTCTCTCTATTCGGCTCATCCTCTTCCACTCTGCTTGTGTCAAAGGGGCTGTTTGACATGGGGAGCGTGTTTCAGAGATTACATCTTCTCCTGTAAAGCTCAGGGTTCAAATAATTTTCTGTGTAAGCTGGCGGTTAAAGCAACCTGTGGACACACGCTCACCTCTCCCTGGCAGAGTGTTGTCTATAAATAAACTTGTACCCTGCCGTGTTCTCCTGCTGTAACCAAGTAATCCAATTTCAATCACTATCTGCCTACAGAAACACACACACAGGCCCACCCCCTCTTTCTTAAGGTGTAGGCTACTTGTTTCATGTAGATTCATTCTCATGTGTGTTTGGTTTATGTGAGATTTATCTGATACCAGACCCACTGCCAGGTTGAGCTGGTGCCCTCTTTTTCAATTGGATAAAGGTCTAACTAGGCTTCAGTTAATATTAGCCATGCTACCAAGAATGTGCATTAATAGTTTTCTTTTTAAGGAAACGGGGGCAATGATCTGGCCAGTCTTTTTTTTTTTTTTTTTGTTTTCAGAGATTTTTGTCAGGCAAAAGCAGGAGTGATACATCCTAGCCTGTATTTATATTGCAGTCTTCTAATTTTCAAGCAATGGGTTATGTGTGATTTTGTGCTTTTGTGTGATTTGTATATTTTTGTGTGATTGTATATTTTATGCACCATTGCACCAACACAAATTCCTTGTATGTGTAAAAACCTACCTGGCAATAAATCTAATTCTGATGTACTCAACCATTATTTTATTACTTCTGTAGGGGCTGCCTACTGCCAGTTCATGGATCTGCTCTTCCCTGGCTGCATCAGTCTTAAAAAGGTCAAGTTTCAAGCTAAGTTGGAGCACGAGTACATTCACAATTTCAAACTGTTGCAGGCCTCCTTCAAAAGGATGAATGTGGACAAGGTGAGTCAACCTTTAGCTTTAATCTTGTTAATGAAATATGCAGTTTAATTTCTGTAATTTTTTTTGCTCCGCACTTTATGTGCTTTGAGGAAACTGCATGAATTTATATTTCGATTCTCTTTTCCTCGATTCAGATTATTCCTGTGGAGAAATTGGTCAAAGGCAGGTTTCAGGACAATCTCGATTTCATCCAGTGGTTTAAGAAGTTCTTTGATGCCAATTACGATGGTAAAGATTATGACCCAGTTGCAGCCAGACAGGGTCAGGATGCCATTCCCCCACCTGACCCTGGTGAGCAGATCTTCAACCTGCCAAAGAAGTCCCACCATGCAGCCAGCTCCCCTACTGCAGGTAACCTTCATGTGCTGCACAAAGCAAAGCCTTCATTTATTTTACTATCCAAATATATGTGAAATGTAACACTATGGCATGTTTTCTAACTTGAGTGCCTGGCCCGTGGTACCTGATAACACTTTGAGTATTTATTTTTACATCAACAACTCCTGTGATTATTCTGTTGTAACTTCGAAGCTCAGTACACAGAGAAATTGTGTAATTTCTTGTCAAAGAGTAACTAAGTCACTATTATGTTGTCAGTAATCCATCCTTGAGTAATTAATCTTTTTGTCTGGCATAGGAGCATCAAGGATGAGCGCTACAACTCCCAAATCCTCAACACCAACATCCAGACCCTCATCAGCCAAAAAGATCCCTATTCCGTCAACTCCTGCCAAAGGAGAGAAAGAACTGGAAGCACAGGTCACACATCTTACTGAGCAGGTAGGTTATTTTTGAAAAGCTCAATTGTCGGACATAAAATTTTACTATCCTCTCCGAAACTGACCCTCAACTATCAGAGGACCAAACTGTTGCCTTCACATTGCTCACATTCCTACTTCTAACACTGGCGATGTTCACTGAAGGCAGTGGGGCTGTAGCTAATGAGTATTTAAATTAAAAATTAATCCGCCAGTTATTTTCTTGATTCATCTTTGAATCTCAAGTCAATTGCAGTTTCCTTGCTTTACACAACCAACTGTTCAAAAAACTAAGACATTTAGTTTAATGCTCACATTTGAGAAGCTGGAACCATGGTATGTTATTTTAATTGAAGACTGACCAACTATTAAAATAGTTGTTGATTAATTTAATGTCGATTGACTAATCGATATAGAGAGGCAGTGATAGAGAGGCAGTGTGCTTTCAGAGAAGAGACCAAAGAACTGAAATTTAATTAGGGATAACATTTCTGTTTTTGAATTAAGCTTGCACAGCTGTTCAAACCAGGAAATGCAGCAACCTATAAATACATTATTAATTTTTCTGCAGCCAGTATATTAATCTCCTACACCGAAGACTACTTCCACTTTTTAAGCCACCCATTCACCTGACGATTAGCCTGACCCAGGTATGACAGTAGCTGGTCTAAGAAATAAAGTTCAGTTTGGCTTTGTTGGCGGGATTGATGATGTGTTGATAGATTGTCACTTGTGGTTTCTTTGCATTTTGAAAGTTTGAGCACTTTTGCAGAAAACAATGGTAGAAAAGAAAGAAGATGAGGCTAGTACACACTGCTCCACACAGATATTAGCTGTAATTGTTGACAGAAGTACTTCTAATATATACTTGAAATTGTATTTGTGTATTTTATATTTGAAATATATGTAGGTTTGCTTTTACTATGACTTATTTTACTTCACTTTTTCTGTTGATTAGTGTCAACATCTTATTTACATCCACTGTGATTCAGTATATAAGGAATGCAAAAGAAAAACGTTTAAATAAGTAGAAATCCAAGTGCAAGCAAATACCTTTTATAGACTCTGACATGGCTGTTATAAAATGTAGAGCTGCACATACATATAGTTTATTCAAACAGAATCCATGTGCACATCGTGTAGTTGTTCCATTGTGTGATCCAACATGTTTCTGCAAATGTTGCCAGTCATTCTGGCATCATTCATTTGGTTACACTCCAGATCCAAGCCAAGGACAGATGAGAGTGAGCTAAATCTCGCTCATGTTGTTGCCAGAAAAAAAACCCCAAATCTAATGAAGAGAAGTCCTAACAATTGTGTAGAATGTATAGTTTTACTCGACAAATGACTAAACAGATCAATAGATTATCTAAACAATGATTAAACAAAGACTTGAGTTTTAATCCATAGAATAATCAATTAAGCAGCTTACTCTGGACTCCAGTTACACGTTATTTGTGCACTTTAGACCACTTGTATCAGTGAATCAGTTTTCTGTAACCGAAGTCCACGTTGTTTTTGGGTGTTTTTAATATTGATGCTAAAACAATCTTGTGAATTGTATTTTTTGAAGGTGAACACATTAAAGTTGGCACTGGAAGGAGTGGAGAAGGAGAGGGACTACTACTTCAGCAAGCTGCGACAGGTGGAGCTGCTGTGCCAGGAGCAAGGCGAAGAAAATGCCCCTTTTGTCGATCGGCTAATGGAGGTCCTGTACGCCTCAGAGGAACAGGTCAGTCTTTGACCCTAAATTAATCTGAATAGGATCCAGGACAGTTGGACTCCCCCGACTTAGATACGTTTTTGCAACCGTGTACACCAGTAAAATGTGCGAGTGCTATTTTTTTCCTGGTGGTAAAATCATGTGAATGTTATTGTGGGTTGAACGAGATAAGAAGTCTTTGTGTGTAATCACATGTGTTTGCCTCGGAGCATGCTTCAGTAGTATTAAGCTGTTTATGCCCCCTTTTTTTTTTTAGGAAGGAGCGGAGCTGGCTGAGGGTGACGGACAGGAAGTAGACCAGCAAGCCCATGAGGAGGCACCAGATGATCAGCAGGAGGAACAGGATGAATACTGACTGCCATCATCCCTCACCGCAGTTACACCCCTCTTTTTAATATGTGAGAACTGTTAAAGGATTTTAATTTTTCCTCATGGTCTATTTTTTTTGTTTTCCAAGACTGAGCACATGAAGCAACCTCCTGAATAGAAGCACCATCACAGTTTTTCTTTTTTTTGTATCCCTCTGCTCACTGTTCAATGTTTTTTGTGACTTTTGGTGAACTGCTGTGGCAGACAAGCTCAGACCATCACAGAAGTTTCCGAGGACTGTGTGGGTGGAAGGTCAATTCAAATCCTACGGTAGATGTGATGAAATGCTGAAGTTTAGACAGGTAACTGTTATCTGTCAGTGCAAATGTTAACTTCCCAGCTTCTGTCCTTTTACATTTTATTTTGTTTTTATTTTGCATATCAACAATATTAATCACAAGAATGCAATAAGTAAAGCCCTGAAAGGGCTCGTAGTAGCTCTTATTTAACCTCCTTCCATATGTTGCACTGACATTTGACTCTGTACTGGACAATCTGTCCATAGACCCTCACCATATTTATTATTGTTAAGCCTTAGAAATAGTGCAAGAATCTGCATTGCATCCTCATGAAGGAGGGCAATACAGTCAGTGAATTGTGAATAAAATGTAGTACAATGCCAACTTATGACTGTTTGACATCCTCACAAATTACAAGATTTCAGATAATCAGTGTGCTCAACAATGTGTTTTTCACACCATACAAGGTGGTTTGGTGATATCGTTTACTTGGTATGCCATAAACATAGGGAAGGCAGAAACATTATCGTGGATTAGTCTTATTATGATGCAGCATTTTAAGTTTTAAACCTCAGCTGGAACTTGTGGTCCGTTCAGATTTCAGAGTTGTTGTTTCTTAAACCACAGGTCTTAGGGAGATGAGTCAGTTCACTGAGTAATTTGCCATGCTATATTCCAGTAAGTACATTGTATACCCTTTCTTAATATTGCATTTACTAATATTGAACTGGGCAGTGCACCATAATGCTTTAGTCATATATTATTATTGTGTAAATGAAAAAGGAATGTAAACATGTACTGTCAATAATTAATGAATGGTAAATGTTTTTTTTCATGTCCCACTCATTATGCATTCCCCAAAAAACGTGTTGCATGTTTGCATTTTATTTGTGAATAACTTGACCTGCTTTTTACATATTTAATAAAAAACAAGTATGTTAAGTGAGCTTTTTGTATGTTTAACCTGCTATTTGAAAGATGTCGCGGTTCGGATGGATTTGCTGTAATAAAATTACGTTTTGAGTCCATGGGAGTGTTGTCATGTCACTCCAACAACAGCAAATAGTTTTGGACATAGTTATAAGAACTAAACTGTAAAAGTTATCTGCTCTAACTATCAATAATTTATGCTTTTATAAGGTTTTTTTTTTTTTAGTTCTTCAAAAGATGAACACCTCTTCTCATATACAGATAATGCTCCATATAACCAGCCAGTGTTGGAAGAGGAACTCATACTTTTTACTTGTGTAAAAGTACGAATATCACAGTGTGAAAATCAGGTTTTCGTTTAGCGTTAATATTAAGAACAATATATACCAGTTGATAGTTCAATCTATAAGAATATAGATTTTGAAACTTAATACTAGTACATTTACTCAAGTATTGCACATAAGTCACTCTGCAAAACACATCACCTTATAAATTATGATTTAAAGTAATAAAAATGACCCTCACTTTGCTCTAAACTCTAAAATACCAATCACAAAAGCAGAAAATGGAAGTAGAATTCATAACATACAGTAGGTATCCTTTAAAAAAAAAAAAAAAAAATCTACCTGATTAAAATACACTTATAAACACTTTGAATGAGACGCTCACACACGGCGCTGCCTCCGGTCCACGCTGTTGGGTAATTGAAACACACCCCTGTTGACGTAGAGCAGCAGCGCTATGTACAGTATGTACCTCTGGTTGGTTAGCGACCACCGGCACACCGCAACTGCACAGCGATGGGTTCATTAGAAGATATTGGAGTTAAATAACGCTGTGTGAACAAGAATAAACTACTGTCGCCATGTCTTACAGGAAGGTAAGAAATCTACTACCTTAGCCAGACAGCTATGGTAGGCTAAGTTGCTAAGTAAGTTTAGGCTAACTTTAAGCTACAAGCTAGCTAGCTCAGGCAACCCAAGTTATCCGCCCACAGCTCAGTTTACCTCTCACTCATGTCTTAACTAATTTACATTTTATTTACTATCACAACAGATAACACCACTGTTTTGAAGTGTAAGCTAGCTGTTATACATTGAACTCACGTTAATGCAGGACCGCCATCACAAAGGGAATCAGTGGATCAATAAAAGCTATCAAATCCGTTGTTTTATTCAGTGTGTGTGGTGATAAAAATGTGTTTTGCTCATTTTGTTTTGTAGCGCAAAAGACACTACAAGGATATAAAGTGTGTTTTCTTTCCGGATGATGTCGAAAATGGTTTGCAAAAAGTTGGGGCAGCATCACTTTCATCGGTGTCTTCCGCCAAGAGCTGGGAGAAGTGTGGAGACAGTTTCCTGGACACTCCGGTGATAAAGGTTGATAAAGTTTAATGATCGATAATACCCAGATAATACCCAGATAATACCTGTATTACCCCCCAACTCCTCTGCTGATGGTGTTGATACTCGTTTCTGTTGCAGAGCCTCAAATCATCAGGAAGGAAACTGTCTGCTGTAAGAAAGTTATCACAGTCCTCTGCCTTAGGTAATTTATAGTTTAGTCTAATTTAGTTGATTCATACATTAATACGATATATTGATATTTTATCATCACTGGAATTTTATTGTGTGGTTTCAACTAAGATGTGGCCATACAATACCACAGGTGATAAAAAATGGCTCCTCTTTACGTATTCTTTGATCAGATAGTTACTTATTTAAATCCTAAATTTGCCAGTTTTCTATTATTTTTATGCTGGAAATGTTCTTGTATAGCTGCTTGTGTTTAGACAACATTTAATCATTCATTACATTTAATCTTAATTCATAAGTCTCCCTTAATTTGTTTAAAGAACAAACACTATTAATTAAAATTTTGTAGAAATAAATGCGTCTGAGTAAGATATTTTGTTTAAATTAAAACAATACCCACTTCTTCTTTATTTTATTCTTAATTTAGACAGTGTGGAGACACAGGAATATAAATTGTCTGTGTGCTCAAGTTCCTATGGGTGCATATGTGTCTCTGCAGGTGGGGTGTGTAGCCACTCCACTCATGTCATGACACGTCTCTTAGGTTTTAAGTTTGTTTTTTTTCTCCCAGTGCAGACCGGTGCTGACTGTAATGAAGACCCAGTGCACATTGCGTGGAGCTCCAGTGACAGTGAACGGTCTGATGATGAGACCCAGAAGCAGCCTCTGTCCAGAGTTGTCTCTCAGCAGCAACAGCGTCCTCAGAGACCAGGGAGACCCACAGCTCCCATTCAGTCTTACACCAGAGCGCTGCGCATGCTCAGGACTGATAAAGGTAAATAAAGTCTGCTGTGAGTCACTGAGGCAGAGCTGAAACATACCGTATTAGGTTCTTCTTGCTGTGCAGTAAACATTTTGAGAGCTGACCTTTGTTAAAGTGTCATACTCCACTACGTTTATTGTGAAAATTCAGTCCTGACCTTGGGAACAAAAAAATCTTCAAGGAATAATTCATATATCATTCAATATGTGGGGAAATACACATATTCACTTTCCTGTGTCGAGTTAGATGAGAAGATTGTTGTTGCAAATCTTGGAAACTTTTGGACTGAGCCAGCCTAGCTGCTTCTCCCTGTTTCCAGTATTTGTGCTATGCTAAGTTAACCGGCTGCAGGTTGTGGCTTCATATTTACCATACAGACGTGAGAGTGGTATCGATCTTCTCATCTAACTTGTACGTCAAGGTCCACTTACTAACTTTTTCCAGAGCTTGTCTTGTGTGCAGATGTCATAGAGTTGACTCAGTTGCAGAGTTTGCGTTAGACTTCCTTGTTGTCCATCAGGGTCGTAAAAATTCTGTCACAATCAATTTTTATCCATCATTTTAATTTAAATTTTTAACATTTTTAAAAACAATCCATCAGAGTAAACATTTAATATACAGAACTTACAGATTACGCATTAATAAGGGCATGGAGAGAAATGGTGTACAGAGGCACTGACAAACATTATCAGTGTTACTTGCTTGTCCTTCATCCTCCACCACGTCAGTCCCTCTTTTTTCACCTCGTTTATTAGTGATATAGCCTACCAGTGTGATGGCTAAAGCCAGTTAGACAACGAGGAGGTTATGCATGTGAGATCAAAGACAAGACTACTGGATAGTAGCTAATTAATATGCACACTCTCCAACTGGACAGGGGGGTCTACTACAGGTGGTCTACATGTGGATACTGACAGTGTTGCCTGGGAATTACTTAACGCTACAGTAGATCGGCTTCAGTGTTAATTTGTCAAAACGACAGACGGCCTTCAGATTTTTCCGTCATTGTTTAAAAAATGAAGTTACTGACCCCTGCTCAGTTGTCATCCTGTGACCTAAATAAGGAACTTGATAACAGCTGACCAATCACCATTCACTGAGATAATGTGAGAGCTTAAAAGCTCCAGAAAAAGCTAGTATGTGGACCTTGAGTTAAGATTATTTTGTCAAACTTAATTTATTATTAACTTTTCTCTTCTATTCTTTAGATGACCTTCCTGTTATTGACACAGACAGTGATCTGGATGAGTCTGAGGAAGATGCTGAAAAGGACAGTGGGCAACAAATCTCTGACTGCGAGTCAGAGTCCTTTGATGAAAAACTGGAAGATTTACCTCTTAAACCTACAAATGTGAGTAAACTATATTATTCTCATACGTTGTGTTTCTTCCAGGGAACCATTGATCAACTCATGACCTGCATTAGTGCATGAATCAGATGCATTATTCTGAAACAATGATGCACAGTGGTCTGTAGGTAGTGTATCTTCTTCCATTTTCTCAAGGGTGTTATGTGCTTTAACGATCACTAGATGGAGCCACGCAACCTCTTAAACTCTTTCTAGTTATTTAGATCCAGTGTATGTTTCTAATTAAGTGTTCAGCTGACCGCCAGCATATGCAGTTTTCCTAGAAGTTGTACTATAACTGTCAGTACTTTTCCTAGAGTCCAGTGAGACAACCGAGGATATTCTGTTCACTGTGTGTATTAAACCTGATGAGTTTTACCATCACTTTACACTTAGATGCCATTAATGCATATGTTTTAGTGTAATGTATAACAACACTTGTGGCACTGTGTTGTATTCTGCGTCTTCATATCGCATTATCGTGTTGTTTTAGTTATTTTTCATTTGTTTAGATTTTATGTTTGTTCATTATACCACCAGGTGGAGTGTTGCAGTCATGGTCTCATGTCCTGAAAGGCCCCGACAGGCTCAAACCAGCATTGCACTGAGCACTTTCTAGATCCAAGTTATGTTCCAAACTGTCAAAGTTCACAAGCTGAGGTAGCAAATAAAACACTGATTGTGGAGGGAAATGCTGCCAATTGTTCACTGACACAAAGCAGATATTAAAACAGTTGGTAATGTTTGTACAGTAATTACAAAACATTTCTACTTTAATGACAGTAGTTGCTTTTGAGTCTCTAAAACTCAGATGTGTAAAGAATTAAATATTTTTTAAAAGTGTTCAAAATAATAACACAGTTTAATATTCAATACCAAAACAGAAGATTAATTGACTACTATTGACTATTGAGTGCTTTTTCAAGCAAAATTGTAACTTATAATTGAATATTTTTGGGGTTTGGACATAAAATAATGACGTCAGCTTGAGTTCTGAGAATTGTGTTCATTTTTCACAGTTCTCTGAAGTTTTAAGGGAAAAACTCTCAATCGAACAAATCATCAGTAGATCAGTTGATAAAGAAAATATTTGCTAAAGCACAACGTCATATGATGCATACACTTCTCTTTCTGTTCCATTTGACGAATATATTTGTGTTGTAATTGTAATTAATGTTTTGTGGACTCTCCTGTATGCTGTCGGGGTTGTGGAGACTTGGATTGACTGTTCCTTCTCAGAAGTCATTCAGGAGCTGTGTTTGTTAAAGGCAGGGTTGGCATGGGGAGAATGTGTAAGGAGTGGTGAAGGTGTTGTGCTCAGGTTCAAGACCACACACAGCATTTAGTTGTTACAGCACACACCACAGCATGTCATTGATCAGTTTGATCAACCAAATTACTGAGATGATGCGGTTGTGTAGATAGCGGTTTTATGAATATGACTTTGAAT